GTTGAAGGGCAGGTTGGATGGGGCTTGGAGCAGCCTGGGCTGGTGGGAGGTCTCCCTGCCCATGCAGGGGGGTTGGATTTAGATGATCTTTTAAGGTCCTTTCCAACCCAAATCATTCCATGATTCTATTATTAATTACTACAATGATGAGGCTGTAAAGAAGTCAGATAAACCCAAGTGGTTTTGGTTGTCAGTCCAAACAAACTCAGAGCCCCACCCCTGTGACCTTGTGATGGTCTTTGATTTTACTTTAAGAATAAAATATCTTAATTTTTTCCTTTCCATTTCAATGGGAATTTGGCAATGACAGAAAACAAGAGCTGCCTGTGAGGAGCCCCTGCAGACACCACCTTTCACAGGAACATGATCTGTCACCAGCCAAGGCACAGTAAAATTTTATTTGAAGTGTGAGTTTGTCTGATTCCACCTCAGTCATGGAAATGGTGTTTTGACAAGAACGTGATCTTCCTGCACAGAGGAAATCCACACATCTTTCCTCTGCTACAACACCCCCTTGTATGTTGCCCAAAGCCTCTGACCCTTCCAGCTTGCTCCTCCCTCTGAAGGACCTGCCTTTCAAGCATTTCACATGTTGTGGTGCATCAGCCTGAGTGTACCCAGAGCTCCTGCAAAACACCTGCCTGCACCCAGGCCCTGCACCCCAAGGGTAGGAGATTTACCTACAGATGATCCCTACCACAGCAAATCAGCCTCCCTGGAGGGTCCCCTCCACTTTTGCTTAGCAATAAGGAGGTCAGCAAAGGGCTGGACCTGGAGAGAAAGGGAGTCCTCCCCACCCCTAGGGCAGATGACTCCCTAGCTCCATCAGAATTCTCTCACTCAGGGTCTGACCTGGAGTTAAACCATCAGCTCCACCTCTGCTCCCATCCTCAGCAGAGGACAGAGGAGGGAATCAATTAGAGCACACAGGAGAAGTCCAAAGAGGATAAGCCAATACTGTACCCCACAAGTGACCTTCCTGAAGGTGTCCCTGCCCATGCAGGGGGGTTGGAACCAGATGATCTTCTAGGTCCCTTCCAACCCAACCCATTCCATGTTTCTATGAAAATTCACCACAAAGTGCAGAACAACTAGTTTATGGGAGGTAACCAGACCAGCTCAAAGGGGAATGCTCCCGGCAACCTGAGCTTGGCTTTTCACCACCATCTCTTCTGGTTGATCCAGAAAACAAGCAGCAACAAGAAAGTGTCACATCTAACCAGCAGCTGAGCTGTTACAGCCCCACGGGAAGGAAAACATCCAAACGCATCCCCTGGAGATGCAGCCATCAGCTCCACTGCACAATAACAGGACGTGACTGCAAGATGTCAAGTCCCTCTCTCTGGTTCTGCCATGTCTGGCTGCTTACCTGGGTCATCTTGTCCACTGAGACAGGGATGCCATCGATGGTGAGAGGTGGCAGCTCTGAGTTAACCTCCTGGGGCGCGGGAGCGTGTTCGGCCAGCGCCGACTCCAGGTCTTCCAAGATCATGCTCTTGTACTTGCGGACCTGTGGGGATTGTTGAGCTCAGGTAAACAAGGTGAGGAGCACCAGGAGAGGGCAAGGAGGCAGGGCCAGCCACCTTCCCCAGGGTGCTGCAGAACAGAAGGAGCACATGATGACACAGCTGGTGAAAAAAAAAATACCCACTGGCCCTGAAGACTTGGCTGCTGTGATGAAACATCAGGTAACTCTGGAGAGTGGAAGTATTTATGGAATTAAAAGAAAAGTTCTGATTCAAGATTTATCCTGGTTGGGATTTGCTCCGTTTACTGTCTGGTCTGCAAGAAGGTGCAAGCACTGATAGCTGAGCTGAGTTCAAACATGTTGTAACTACCTGCTCCCCCTGACTTTTAATCCAGGATATTCAGCCTCGGTGAGACGTGCCAGGCAGACATCCAGGCAGAGAAAACAGGACATCAGTGCTGCACTCACAGGCTGGTCTGAATTGGAAGGGACCTTAAAGATCATTCAGTCCCACCCCTGCATGGGCAGGGACACCTCCCACCAGCCCAGGCTGCTCCAAGCCCCATCCAACCTGCCCTTCAACACTGCCAGGGATGGGGCAGCCACAGCTTCCCTGGGCAACCTGGGCCAGGGTCTCACCACCCTCATAGGGAAGAATTTCCTCCTCATGTCCAACCTAAATCTCCCCTCTTCCAGTTTTAATCCACCACCCCTTGTCCTGTCACTACAAGCCCTTGTCCCAAGTCCCTCCCCAGCTTTCCTAGACCTGCTGGCCACGCTTCTTTTGATGCAGCCTCATGTCCATCCCCTCTCAACTCCTGTTCCCAGGGTTGGAAACACGACCTTCAGATCACAACCAGGTCTGCGTGCCCCTTTGAGCAGAATGAAACCTGCAGAGAAGGTGGATGATTCATTACCCAGGCTCTTCCTACAGACACCTACCACATTCTCCAAGGGTGCAGCACCGAATACTTTGAAGACAGGGTTGGGTTTGGAGGGTGAGATGCACAGGACGATGGCCTGCTGCCCCACTCGGGTGGTGTACTCATCCAGCGTGGCTCTCAGCTTCCTGAAACACAGACAGAAGCCAGTGAGGAGCTGAAAACCCTGTGGAAACACCACCCTTTTGCAAACTGCCCTCCTTAATGCTGCCATTCCCAAAGCAGGTGAGACATGGAGCCCCAGCTGGTCAGATCAGCCACATCTCCTGCTTATTCCTCTGCTCCCACAGGCCTGTTGTGTCCCCTGCACTCACCACCAGCTCCAATATCAATTATTCTCCTTTCTCTAATTTTATAACTGATGCAAAAAGGGGAATCACCAGAGCAGCAAAGCTGGGACAGTAAGGTCTGCAGATCCACTCTGTCACTAAGTGTATTATTAAAACAAAACTTGTCAGGTAAAGAACATGAATAATTCAACAAAAGAGGCTGCAAACACAGGTTGTTTTACATCCAGCCTCATAACAGGGCCCTGCAATTCTCTGCGACCAGAATCCTGGTCAAACCAGAACTGGAATAATTCAACTAACAATTGCAGGAGAGGCAAGAACCAGAAATATTGCAACAGCTCAGCACAGGAAAACCAGGGACTCAGACACCTGCCACACCAGCAAGTCCCTTTGGGATGATCTCCCTGTAGGAAGAAAATGTTCCATCATCTGCTTTCCACCACTTATTCACATTTAAACAGAAATACTGTGTCAGGAATGTTGGCAGAAACTTATAAAGCAAAAGAAAAGGAGCTGTTACCACCAGATAACCTGAGCACTCCAGAAGGTGACAGTTCAGTGCCTGCTCTGGCCAACAAGCAACCTGCTGTTGGCAGCAGACCTGTTGCCAAGAAGCACCAAGACCACCACACAGTGACCCCAGGTCCAGCTTTAACTTCCCACTCAACTCACAGGGGTGTAAATATCAAGCTCAAAGATGTCAAACTGATCAGAGAGCAAACAATGGATGCGTTTTGTCAGTAACTTGCAGTGAAATGAAGTGGTTGCATGAAGGGAGAAGAAAGAATTCCTTTAAATGGGTGTTTCTTAAATAAATATGTTGGTCACATTTAAAGAGAGGAAAGAATCTGCTCTTCAGAAACGTGGCTGGGTCAGTAGAGTTGGGGGAAGGAGGGAAAAGCAGAATGGGGGTATGGAAAAAAACCAGGGGAGTCCACTCCTAGGGAACATTATTTAACACCAGCCCTGCTCCACTTGAGTCCAGTTTGATCATGTGCAAAGGGTGTTGTGGGACACAGCAGATGAGTGAGTAGAATATAAGGAAACCAACTCAATTTCTCAGTACAAGAGTTAGAATAGGAGAGAAGGAGACAAGGTGGAACTCTGGCCATGGCTGCACTGAGTGTGCACGTAGGAGGAAGCCAGCAAGAAACAGGATGGCAAATACTCCAGCTCTTGTGAGATCACCCAAGTAAATCCAAAACAATCAAAAAAGCAAAAATTGCTTTGTTCCAAAACTCAGGAAGCAGCACCAGCCAATATCTGCAAATGCTTCCTGAAGCTGGAATTGCAGGTGATCTCTCCAGGCTTATGAGAAGCCTGAAGTCACTGGAGTAGCAGTGCTCCTCGGTGGCCATCAGGTGGGCAAACAGCCACAGAGCACCTGGAATGCAACACCTCCAGGGCTAGGGAAGTTTGCTGTCTACAGAACAAGTTCCTAAAGCCAAAGGAAGTGTTTCAGCTCTGGCAGGCATCCTCCCTCCATTATTCTCCCCCCACACGGAGCCCTGAGGCTGGGTGGAGCTCACACAGCGTGGCCTGATGGTGCAGGAAATTCAGGTACCCTCGTGGATTTTTTTCACAGGATCACTTCAACATGCAGAAAAGCTTTTTTTTTTTGTTAGGTAGGCAAGTCCCTTGTGCCACTGCAGAGCTGGGATATGGCAGTAGCTCCAGATTCTCAGGCCAGCTGCTGTTAAAGCCACCTTGAACACCTTTCAAGGCAGCGTGACCATGACACGTTTAACTTGTGACCAGCCAGGCTTAAAACACAACGTGTTTTAACAAACCAAAACATGGTGGGTCCCACCCTGCTGGTCGTGTCAGTCCTGGTGATCATGGCATCACATTAAAGGCGAGGAGAGCTGCAATTTAACCCATTTCTGCCCACAAAAACCCCAGCTCTTGGCTTCCAGAAAAGATGCTAAAAATATACAGATGTATAAACATAAATCTGGGCAACAAAAACCCAGCTCTTGGCTTCCAGAAAAGATGCTAAAAATATATAGATGTATATACATAAATCCTCAAGCTGGGCAACTTCTGGACAGGCCATGGTGTCCCCAGGCATGACAGTGGGGACAGGGGGGGATGCAGAGGGAGGGGGCAGGGTGCAGACTGGAGCTCTCACCGTAGCAAACGCGTCTGTTGCCTCTTGCGGATGGAGGGGTTGGACTCAAACACGTGGGGTCGCTTCCGTTTCTTGCCCGTTGCCACAGCAGCAGCTGCTGCCATCCCCACAGGGCCTGGAAATCAAACCACAAAGGGTCAAGCAGCACATCCAGCTCAGGAACTGGCCAGAGAGGCCACTGCCCTCCCCTGCCCCAGGGGATGGGTCCCAAAGGCTCAGCTCAAGGGTCTCCCCAGACTAACAGATCCCAGCTCACATCCAGGTGAAAGTCACTTCAGTCCAGAGTTTTTCCCCCTGGTATCACAGAATGATGCATTTCATCTTCCAGACACACTCTCAAGTATGCCAAGACTTTAAATCATAGCATCCTAGAATGCCAGGTTGGAAGGGACCTCAAGGACCATCTGGTCCAACCTCTAGGTACTACTCTAGTTGATAGGAGGTGGCTCAGCACCCTGTCCAGCTGAGACTTCAAACTGCCCCATGTGGGGGAATCCATCACTTCCCTTGGGAGACTGTTCCAATGCTGGACTGTCCTCATGGGGAAACATTTCCCTCTTGTGTCCAATGGGAATCTCCCCAGGAGCAACTTGTGCCCATCACCCCTTGTCTTTCCCATGTGCATAATAATATAATAATAAATAAGTAGCTGCAGTTGAGGAGATCCCAGTGGCAGGGTACAAGAGACCAGGTACAATGTTCTGAATCCTGCTTGGACACCTCAGCTACAGCATCAGGAATCTGAGGCTTTCCCCAGGGATTAATGACCAGTTCTAATGGGAAATAAATGGAAAATTCAGAGCTCCCAGCAACATCCTGCAACAGCTCCCTGAGGAACAGCAGGGACCACAGCAGGGCTGTTGGTTCCATGATCAAAATCTAGACACAGAGTCTATGTAAGGGATGCTTGATTAAATTAATTGGAGGTAAACCAAGTAATCCATGCAGTGGATTGTGCTTCTGTAAAGTGATCTCCAGAAATCACAGACTCATGGAATGGTTTGGGTTTAAAGAGACCTTAAAGATCATCTAGTCCCAGCTCCCTGCCATGGGCAGGGACACCTCCCAGTAGACCAGGTTGCTCCAAGCCCCATCCAACCTGACCTAAAGGAAAATAAAGCTGAGGTGGTGACAAGTGAACAAAGCAGAAACAGGTCAGATAAGCACAGTGGCAAAGCAAAGGGGCACATTTCAGGTCTTTTCCAACCCAAACCCTTCTGTGATTTTATGATTTTGGCGTGTTGTGGAGGAAGAGCTGGTGAGGGCAGACAAGGAGAGAAGCCACAGGGCTGAGAAGGATGGAAGACCTTGGAAGGAGTCAAAGGAAGGATTGCAGTTAACTCCCAAAGCAGCTGCTGTGCAACCAGAAACCTGTGTGATAGCACCACAATGGAAAACAGCTGCAAAGGGGACAAGCAAAGGTGCTGATGGAAGGAGGAGAAAGCAAAAATCCAGGTAGCTGCCAGCCCCTGAGAGCAGGAGGTGGTGGGAGCACATGGGCCATGGCTGGAACACTCATTTTGAGAACCCAATCAAAGAATGGCCTGGCTGCTTTTTGTGGTAACTGGCAGGTTTTAGGAGCTGGGCTGGCAGATTGTCATGGCAACTCAGGGAAATGTTTTGGGAAGCAGAGGATACAGCCACTGCCTCCTGGTGCTGGAAGTTGAGCTATTGCACAGGGTCACCAACTCCTGCTCACACCAAGACCAGTTGTATGGACACGACCACCTCAGCCTTTCAGCTTCAATCACATTTCTACCCATTTCCTCACTTCCATTCCCCTTCCATTCCCAGTTGTTGGCAGTAACTTCTACTCAAACATCTCCTCTCCATTTGTATTTGTTCTAACAACTAACATTGGACTCCTAACATACAGAATCCTCCTCCACTCCTACCACTCACATTTAGAAAGGCCTTTTCACAACTCACTACAAAGACTCCTAAAGGTTTTACCTATTTAATAAGCCAACCAATTGGCAAATCCTACATCCCACAAGGTGCAGCCCATATCCTGCTGCCCAACTCTCTCACTAGCAAGTTCTTCTCCTTTTAATTTGCAAGCTGTTTGGAACAAGGGGTCATTGCTCACTGTGATTATAGAGCCTTGAGCTGGGACACCCAATGCACTCCAAAATGCTGATGCACTTCAGCTGCTTTCTACAACTCCACAGGGTACAGTCAAGACCCTCAAGAGCTTTATTCCTCAGATAAAGTCTGATACAGAGGCAGACAAGTCTGTGAGTGCTGCATTTTTCTCTCAGTGAGGTAGATCCACTACAAGGCAAAGCTGAAGGACATTTGGCAGGGGCCTCACTGGAAGGAATTTGTGATTCTGAAATACTTTCCCAGCCCAGATATGCCAGGACCCTTGGTGGCATCTCCTTGGGAGATGAGTTCCCTGGCTAAGCAGGGTTGTGCAGCACTTCTGGGTTATTTTTGCTGTTGTTTATATGGGCCTGAAATAATTTTGCTCTTTTGACATACTGGGTATTTTAGTTCCCTTATTGGGAGCAGCATTTACCAGGGACCTCAAAGGCTGAGAGAGCTGGAGCTGTTCAGCCTGGAGGAGGCTGAGAGGGGAATCTCATCAGTGCTGATCAATACCTACAGGGAGTGTCAGGATGGTGGGGTCAGACTCTGCTCAGGGGTGTCCAGGGACAGGACAAGGCTACAAACTGGTCCACAGGAGATTTAACCTGAATATGAGAAAATAATTCTTCACTCTGAGGGTGACAGAGCCCTGGGACAGGCTGCCCAGGGAGGTGGTAGGTTCTCCATCCCTGTAGACATTTCCAAACCCATCTGGACGTGTTCCTGTGGGATCTGCTTTAGGGGATCCTGCTCCAGCAGGGGTTTGGACTAGATGATCTCCAGAGGGCCTTTCCAACCCTGACCACTCCGTGATTCTGTGACCTTTTTTATTGTACAAAGCAGTCCCTTATTCCCAGCACCTCCATGTTACACATGGACAGAGCCCTGCAAGGTTCAAGCAGCCAGCAGAGCTGGTGAAGAAGTGCTAGGAAAGCCAGAGCAACAAGGAAGCCCTCACAGCATCCCCTTGGGGTGTATGACATCTCTATGACAAGATCACAGAGCTATGGAGTGGTTTGGGTTGGAAAGGACCTAAAAGATAAACTAGTTCCTCCCCCACTGCATGGGCAGGGACACCTCCCACTAGACCAGGATGCCCCAAGCCCCATCCAACCTGGCCTTGAGCACTTCCAGGGGCAAGAAGACCACCTGCTGCCCTCAAGTGCTCTTTGCAACCTCTGCATCAATGCTACGTGAGATGACCCATCCCGAGCACCCTGCTTACCTGCTGCAGCCAGGTGGGCAGTGACCTCGTCGGTCGCCGTGGAGTTGAGGATGTCAGAGTCATCATAGGATGTGTCCTCTGGTGATGATGGTGAATCTTCATCCGCACTCAACATGCTGTGCTCTGTGTAGGTGGCCACATGGACCTGCTGCACCTGCTGGGCCACTGCGTGGGCCTCGATGGTGGCCATGTGCTCTGTTTGGGTCACCCCGTGTTCTTCCATCAATAGCTACTGCCAGAGGAGACAAAAACCACAGGAAGGGGTTAGTGGCACTGACACACCACAGGGGAGCCCAGCCAGAGGTTTCTGCTGGTTGAGCAGGTGGTGACCAAGAAGGAACAGAGATGATCTCCCCTGGTGGCACTGGTCTTTTACAAGAGGCAAACAACAACTGCACCAAAAAAACAGAGAGGAATTGAAGTTTAAGAGTTTTGAAAAACCCATCTTTCCAAACCACAAGACACAGCACCCAGAGCCCATCACCTCTGCTGGAGGAAAGGTCTTCAAGGAACCTGTAGCTCTGAGATTATGTGCCCCTCCCCACTATGCACTGAGAGGTCTGATCAGAGCTGGAGCTTATTTTTGCCACATCACAATCCAGCTTTCAGGGAAGATGCTCAAGGCTGATACACAACCTCCCTCCTCCAGCCTCAATAGCTCAGGACACAGGTGAAGATGCCAGTACAGAAGTTGCACTCTGGAGACCAGAACTCATTCAGAGTCTGGAAGCAGCCAGAATTCTTGCAACCCAAGCACAAATACTACACAAAGGGCATTTATTGAATGCATCTGATGATAAACCACTGAGCAAAGTGGCTGCTTAAGTAGTCCATGAACAGAAGGAGCAAGTCAGGAGGAACACAGATATTTTCAGTGTCTGCCATGCACCTGTGGAAAAGACCCAGCACATCCTTAGATATCTTTGAACTACATTAGAAGAATCAAAAACCCCCCAAAACAAGATTCCCCAAAACCCTCAGGGCAAAGAGAAGAAGGAAAGAGATGATCAGCTGCAGGGAACAATAAAACATACCCAGACAATTCGGACCTTGGAATTAGAGCCATGGAATTTAAAGCTCTTGATCAACACCCTCTTTGTGGAGACCTGCTCAGGAGCATGGACACAGACCATGGAGTGGTCTCAGATACATGGCTGGGAAACTGCTCTATGAAGTCAGAGAAGCCACACACAGCTTTGTCCTTCACAGTCTAAATTGTGTCATAAATACATGACACTTTGCAAAAAATCAATGTGACAAAACCTCAGTCTGGCAAAACAACCACCAGGCTTCTACTGACCACAAAAAACCCCCATCCTGATGACCAAACCATGGAACATCCTGAGACACGAGGACCCAGATCAGGAGAAAGCACTTTGCCAAGAGGGTAATTTTGACCAAACTAACCAAAAGTCTCATACAAAGAAGGAGAAACTAATGGAGACATGGCAAGAGAGATCACAAAGGTGGGATTGTCCATGGAGGAAATGGAGAAGAAAGGAGGACACCTCAGCTGAAGCTGTCAATACTGAGCAAACAAGAAGAGAGGTGGGAGGCAGAAGGAGGTTAAAGGAGAGGACCAGAGTCTTGCTCTGAATTCAGGAGACAGTATGAAGGGACTGAAGCTGTGGAAGAAGAAGAATCTTTCCAGCAGCATTTTAAGCAGCACCACCTCAGAAGCAAGGAAGCAGCTGCCAGAGCCCAGACAAGAAACGGAAGAAAAGGTGGGGTGGGGAAGGACTGGTATTTAGATGCATTTATTTCTGCCTCAAACCTACTGACCAAGAACTGAAATATGCCAGATTTACTTTTTTTCCCCATACCAGCTGGCTTCTAAAGGCTTGTTTCCATGTCCCTCAAGACCTTCTCTGCAACTCAATGTACTGAATGTTACAGATGTTTCAAAACAGCTCCTTCAAAGGCAGCTCCAACTTGAAGACACCAAAACTAGGGATGCAATTATTTTAGAGAGTCCTGTCCTCAGAACAGGACCCCTTCTAAGACCATTTTCCATGCTTCAGTTCAGCACATCTGTTTTGACAGGAAACAAAAGCTACATCTCAAATGTAGGCAAGTATTCCTTGGCCAGCACAAAGAGGAGGCTTCCTGTTCAAAAGCCAGAGCCTTGTACCTGGGTGAGCAGGGGATGAGATGAAGTTTCTGATGTAGCAGCAAGACCAAGACATTGAAAAGAGACTTGGAATGAGCCAAAGAAGTGTGTTGTGTACAAAACTCATTTGCAAAATTAATTAATTCCTTCTGCAGCCACCCTAGCAAACTTTATCTTCTTGAGAAGCCAAATCTGACCTGGCTGCTTTGCCACAGTTTCTCATTTACTAAGACACAGAAACCCAGCTGGATCTTTCCAAAGTGTTACTGAACTTCAAAAAAAAACCACCCCAATCCTTCAAGCATTTTACCCTGCTCAGCTCTGTCCAGATCACCAACAATTCAGACCTTACAGGCCAAGCTCCTCAGGATGTACCAACCTCACTCTGCTGAGCAGAGAGGCCACAGCAACTCAAATTCTAGGGGAGATGTGGTGGGATTGTAGCTAAAACACAAACAAGGGTTTGGTGACATGGACAGTGGGATCAAGTACACCATTCCCAAGTGTACAGATGACATCAAACTGTGTGGTGTGGTGACACACCTGAGGGGTGGGATGCCATCCAGAGGGACCTGGACAAGCTGGAGAAGTGGAACCATGTGAACCTCAGGAGGTTTAACAAGTGCAAGGTCCTGGACCTGGGTCAGGACAATCCCCAGTATCAATAGAGGCTGGAGGACAAAGGGGTTGAGAGCAGCCCTGAGGAGAAGCACCTGGGGGTGCTCACAAATGAAAAGCTAGACATGAGCTGACAATGTCTGCTGGAGCCCAGAAACCAACCCTGTCCTGGGCTGCATCTCCAGCAGCGTGACCAGCAGGACCAGGGAGGGGATTGTCCCCTCTGCTCTGCTGAGACCCCCCCTTGCAGGGCTGAGGCCACCTTTGGGGTCACCAACACAAAAAGGATGTGGAGCTGTTGGAGAGAGGCCGGAGGAGGCCCCAGAGATGAAGGGAGGGCTGGAGCAGCTCTGCTCTGGAGACAGGCTGGGAGAGTTGGGGTGTTGAGCCTGGAGAAGAGAAGGCTCCAGGGAGACCTTAGAGCAGCTTCCAGTGCCTGAAGGGGCTCCAGGAAAGCTGGGGAGGGGCTTGGGACAAGGGCAGGGAGGGATGGGAGCAGGGGGAAGGGTTTCCAGCTGGAAGAGGGGAGATTTAGGTTAGACATCAGGAAGAAATTGTGGGCTGTGAGGGTGGGGAGACCCTGGCCCAGGTTGCCCAGAGAAGCTGTGGCTGCCCCATCCCTGGCAGTGTTGAAGGGCAGGTTGGATGGGGCTTGGAGCAGCCTGGAATGGTGGGAGGTGTCCCTGCCCATGCAGGGGGGTTGGAACTGGATGATCTTTTAAGGTACCTTCCAACCTAAACCATTCCATGATTCTGTGATCTAAAGATTAGTCCACTTATTCAGACAAGCTCTAAGAACCACCCATCTACCACAAGCTCTTCTCTCTCTCCACTACCTCCCTTCCAAAGCAGCCCAAGGCACACACTGTGACACACCAACACCACTTCCTTCCTTGGTGGCACTATTACATTTCCTCACCCTTAACCTTTCCTGCCTGTATAAAAGTAGGGATAAGCTGAAAAAAACGAGGCAATCAACAACTCCAGCTCCCCACTGAATGGCTCAGCCTGCCCCACTGTGCACACACCACCACTCCCAGCCCTAGAAATTGATTTCTCAGTTGGAACCTGGATGAATTCTGCTTTAACCTGAGAGCTGCTGCCACTCAATCCATGTTTTTCACTTTTCCAACTCCTGTGTTACTTCCATTTCCCTTCCAGAAAACTTCCAAATGTCTCCAGAATCCTACACTGAAAGGCATGAAGCCTTATCTGGGAGTATTGAAATGCTGGGGAGTTATTCATATATTCAACATATTCCCAAAGGATTCCTGGTACAAGTCAGGCTTGTGGACAAACACCTTGACCAGCAGCTTCTGCTGGTGATTATTAACCTGCTGCTCTTGCCCCAGCAGCAAAGCTCCTCTGTGATTCATCCAAAGGGTCCACACTTGGATCTGACCATGGGGAGGAAAGGAAAGTTGTTGTTGATTCATTTTAGAGACAAGCATTTATCATCCCAGAAAAGGAAAGTTTCTTCCTGTGTTACTTCAGAAACCAGAAGAGTCTCAGGTGTAAGGAAACCCTAATGATAGGATGATGCCTGCAGAGACATTTCCTGGTGGCTGTAGCATAGTCCAGAAGCCTTGGATGACAGCCAAAATGATTTTTAAAGCCATTTAAAGTGCTTAAATAAATATGAGGATTAAGTCCCTCTCATCACAAGGTGCAGTAGCTCATGGCTGTGTCAAAGGTTCCTTTGATGTCCTGTCAACAATGATCAGTGGCTGATGACAACATTACTGGAAGAAGACCAGAGACAGGAGGAGCAAAACAACCCAAACCAGCAGAAGCACAGGTAGAAACCAACAAAAACTCAACATAAACCTCATAAATTCTACGTTCACTTTAAAACCACATGGATGAAAATGAAGGTCCTGTCTACCCAGTGTAATAATCTGTGGTGTAAATGCAAAAAGACACATCTCGACCAAAACAAAACCATGTGGGTTTATCCTTCTGTAGAAATTGTCCTTTGCCACAACCATTTAGTGTTGCTTCACAAGTGCTTTAAACTGAGCCAAAAATAAAATGTCCACACCAGAAAAAAAATTCTGAGGTAGCCCAGCATGGCTGGAAAAACTCTCTTCCACAAACAGGGCCTGGACTTCTTTTTATCCTTCAGACCTGCTGAAGAGGTTTTATTTCAGATGCTGAAGCAGCACCAGAAGTTGCCCTCTGAAGCAGTCTCAGCTAATTCAGCTGACACCCTGCTCAGATTGACAAGGAACTGCTGGGTCTGATTTCTTTGGTGGTTTAAATAATTGTTAGAAGGATGTAAAATCTGGATGACCTGAATGAAGACTAATGGAGAAGGGCTGAGCCAGAATATCTGGATGGAGAGCTGCTCAGTGCTCTACAGCAGGTGCACAGCTCACTCCTGCCATGTGTGCTTAGACCCCAACTAAGAAAGCAGCTTCTGCACCAAGGGGAGCTTGGGGTACAGCTTGTAAATCACAGAATTGTTCTGGTTGGAAAAGACCTTTCAGATCATCGAGTCCAAGCATCAATCA